GTAAAGTGTCAATACTAAGACTGTTATAAACAAACTGTCAATCAATATGCTGAACAGTAATATAGAGCATGAACTATAAAGATGTGTGTGTACCACTCTAAAAAAAATCTCAATTAAGACTAGTATAGAGTATGGAACACTTTTTGTATTTATTTGGGACTAATTTGGGACATATTATGTTTTTGTGTTGTATCCTGTAGGTAATATCAAATGTCTAAATCGTAACAGAGGCAGATGTGTTTAAAAACGTTGCCGCGGATGCTAGAAATTCATACAATTTAATGAGAGTGCGATATAATCTGCTGGATAAAAGAATCCTCCATGCATGTCATTTTTTATTACAGGAAAACACCAAAGTTCTCTTCATGTGTTTGTTTTCTTTATGCCGCTGCAGATCTTATTGTCAAACTGGCAAAGGACAAGTTTGGAGCCATTCAGACGGAATATCAAAAGGTAACTAAGTGTGTGCTTGTTTGTGTGGTGAAATGATTGCTTTTCTGTGCCTTTCATCCTCCTTGCTGCATTTTTACTGATTGGAAACAGCAACTCATGAAATACATTACATTAGAAATGTAGCTCTGAGAAACGCAGTAGTCTGTGACTTCTCTAAAACAAGGGGTCAATAGCTTTCATTAGCCAAGGCGATGCCATCTTTTTACCGGCATTCCAGGGGAAAAAAATGGTTATTGCTTCTGGCGCAACCTATGAATTTAGAGAGATAAATCATTTGAGCTCATCGGAGCAAACAGATTTGACAACCAAAGGCTTTTTTAGGCTTGAGAGCTAAATAAAGAGTGCAATTTGCAGTCTTATTTGTGTGCTATGTATGGAAATGCATGACTTTAATTTCTCTTTTTGTTGTTCTCTTTCATCACATGTGTTCGCTTTGTGGCTTTGCTCTTTTTTTTGATGCTGCATTGCCTTTTGTCTTCTGCATGCCCTCTTCATCTGATCTGGCCTCCTTCAGCCAGAGAACATAGTGCTGACCCTTCAGGTAAAGTCTGCACACTGGACTTAAAGTCTAACCGATCCACCCCCCCTTCCCATAATTCTCCACTATGAAAGTCATCAAGGCTGCACAATCATAGCTGAGATATTAATCTTGTATATTTTGTTTATTTTGTCATCTTGATAATTGGAATATACAGGATTAGTTTTGCAGCCTTGTAACTTTCTCTCAGCCATCCCATCAACCTCACAGCTACCTTGGAACCTTCCCTTTAGCTTGACCTAAACCGTAGCCCCTCTTTCTTTTTGAAGCACATCCTCGTGCAGAGTTTTTTTTTTCACTTTTATGGAAGTGACAGAGATGACTGGATAGAGAAACAAAGAAAAAATGTTTTATAACACTAACTGTCAGAGAATTCTACTTTGAATTTCATCTAGTTTAAACTTTGTGTTACAGGGGGTTATGGTAAAATATTGCCTATAGTTCTCCACTGGCTCCTGAGGACCTACTGTGAGGCTAATATGTAGCACAAAACGGGACACTTACTGCAATATCAATCCAAGCATCGTCACTCAAATTTGATGTTTTTGAACTGCAAAGTAGTCTCCTCCTTTCGTTTTTATTATTATAATGATTAACAAGGATATTATACTAGTGTTTATTATATCAGTGCATAAACAGTGTTCAGTGCTCATGGTGAATATCTCTGTATTCACTAGTCAGCATCTCAGCTGTATTTACTTTGACATCCACTTAAAAACACAGCATGTAAAAGCCACATGTAACACAACAGATACATACATTATGTTCGGGATCCTGATGGTGGCAGAACTCTGGACCTGGACTTGTAGTATGCATTAAGTGCAGCATTTCCCCTGGTTTAAAAATCTTTATATCAGCATAAACAGGCCGGACTACCTCACAGGTCAACAAACTGTAACAGTGATTTTTACTGCGATTCTACAGCAGAGCTTTTAAATGGTTTGAATTTGTGCTTGTAGCCTGCCTGTAAAAGGCGGTGATTTCAAACTTTTGTTGGAAGAGCAAAGCAGAATAGACTCTGTCCCAGCATGATATTATCCAGTGTCATGCCTGCTACCATAAACATTTTGTAAAATAAATTCTTCCTCATATTGGGGAAATTTCTTATCACATCAGGCCCAATGCATTGCAGTTTTTGTTTTGTTTTTTAATATTTATTTTTTTAAGAACAGTCTTTCATAGCCCTCATAGACAAATGCAAAGCAAATCAATCGTCTGGCTTTAAAAGACTATTTAATGCAAAATCCCAGCTGGCAGTGTGTACGCTAGTCTTAGTTTTAACCAAAGTTTGCTTACGGTGGATTTAAATAGTCCAACCGTGTGTTTGAGAACGTGTGTATTTACATGTTTTCCTGCCAGTATATGATGTTAAAGAGTACTTATACATAAATGTATGTTCATGACTTTATAGGGTATTTTCTGTGTTAGTGGGTGCTATACACCTACTTAAAAATGTATTTGACAAAATTCTTCAAATCTTACACTTTTACCTCTTCATTCAACCGTGCTACAGTTATTCATTTTATCTCTACCTACTGAGCTATCCCTGCCCCTGAGGGATAGCTCAGTAGGTAGAGTGGTTGCCCCATGATCAGAAGGTCGGGGGTTTGACTCCACTGAACGGCTACCCTGAGGTACCCCTGAGCAAGGTACCGTCCCTACACACTGCTCCCCGGGCGCTGCATTGATGGCTGCCCACTGCTTCACTGGGTGAATGGGTTAAATGCAGAGAAGTAATTTCCCTACGGGGACTAACACATACACATTATACATTATTATCATTATTATTATAGTTCCCCTCTATTAAACAAAGCTTTCTTAAAATAGGCTGCTCTTCTTAAACTTTGTGTTGATTTGAATAGGTGAGTGGGGCTTCATATGGCCTCACATGGCCATTTTAGATCTATCCACTCTAAGAAGCAGAGCAGAGAAGTAGGCTGAGCTCTTATTGGGCATTAAGTTAACTGTTAATGAATCAAGGAAACAGCTTCTTGCTTGAGGACACTTCAGCATGCCTCGAGGCTGCTGCTGGCATTAAATCTGTTTCATGTTAAAGAAATTCACATCTTCACTCTTCAGACATGCTGCCAACCCATCATCCTGTTTGTTCTTATTGGAAGGTCACCTTCTTCTTTTGGGCACTTGCCAAGACAAAGCTATAGTCCCAAAATAGTAAGAGCTGGAGGCCCTTTAAGAGTGGCGGTGGAAAAAAAACGGCACATTTTTGACCTTTTTTTTTTTTGCTGAAGATTCACCCAATAACAAGCAGAGCCCAGAAGGAGAATGACAATGCAAGCACTACAGTTTGCACAGTGTCCTCAACAACTGTGCTGACATTAGTGCCTTTAGATGATACACATACACATATGTGCACACAGACACACAGTCTTTCCTTTAGTTTTTGCCTCACAGCATTTTCAGAATCTCTGATTTCCCTTTTTCTCTTTGGACTCTGCAGTCCATATTTTTAAGGTCACAAAGAAAGTGATTAAGAGACTTTTTCGACGTCTTAGAAATGTAGTCACACAGCTGGAGCCTTCACTCCTCCAAACATTAGCGACAGGATTGTGGGTTATTATCTTTACTCGAGTTTTCCATGTTTGCATAAAGATTTAAAAATGAACCAGAAGACTGTTCCTCTCAGTCTTATTCAGAATCTATTTCTACCCTACCTTTTAGCCAAAAGCCAATGAAGGAGTCCCTGAAGGAGGCAGGTCACTGACTTGTGAGGGCGATTAAGATTAGTACAAATCAGCTGGGAGAGCAGTTCCTCTATTCAAAGCAGTGATAGCAGTGCTGCTTTGATCCTTTCATAACGAGAAGCTATTGAACATCATTGTGACAAGTTACATATGGTGTGGGAATTACCAATCCCCTATTTAATTTTGACAATTTCCAGAACCTATGCTGCATGCAGTTTAGGTAGGGGCAGATTAAGTAGGAGCACTGTGGCACATGACAAGAAGAGCAAGTGAGAAGCTGCCAACAGCAGCATTTTAACTCTCTCAGTATATGAGAAGGAATTTGCTAAAGAAGCTTGTCATTTTGAATATTGAAAGTTAAGGATTATTTAGGCCGTCATTGACAAATGATGTGCAGATTTCATAGGTGATGTTGAAAGGGTTCTAATTCCAGTAAATACAGTAATAGAAAGCACCGTCTCCAAGCTTGCCCTTGTGCTGTGGAGGTGCACTGCTACAGCGAATGCAAAATCTCCTCCACTGTGTCACAACAGCGATCCTTTAACATGCATTTCATTTTAAAGTTGCAGGAACTGACTCGGGGAAAATACTGAGTGGTGAAGGAGAATGTGCCTTCTCACAGTTTTGACAGTCTGACCCTAGGGGATGAATTCACCACATATAGACCCATAAATATATTAAAAATATATTTAAAAAGTATCTCCATGCTCCTGCTTGCACTCTTGATATGATGCTACTGATGAGAGTGCTTTGTTGTGCTTGGAGGCCGCAGGCTTTGCCACAGAGCTCAAGTTTGACCTCTGTGGTATATAATTTGTGCACCTGCAAGTGGTCAGAGCAGGACTTCCTGGGAGCAATTCAAATGTAGCAGGAGCACCACAAACAGAGCAACGCAGAGACAAATTTAAACCAGGTCTGTGTTTTGTTTCTTTCAGGTGCAGAACTTAAAACTTCTTGTTGTGTTGTCTTATGCTAAGAAGTTAATGAAGTTAATATAAGAGGAGTATTTCAGTCTAATAAAGATGGACACATTTGTTAGAATCTTCATGAAGTTTGTAAGGTTGTTTTATGAAACTGAAGAAGTGACGTGGATGAGTGACGAATCGTTTCTCCCACTGAAAACGCTACGTCCAGATGAACAGAATCAACCTTTTGGGATTTACTTACCTGACTGATTGAGCATGCATCGAGACATTACATTTGTCAGTTTTAGCTAGGCGGAGGAAATGGTTACATTTTCTGATTACCGGCTACAAATTTTCACAGTAAAATTTCAGTTTCAGCCACCTAAGTTTAATTATTCTTGTTTATTTGTTTTAGAACTTCACCTCACCATTACTTACTAAAATCCTCTCCTGAATCCTGAAAGTTAGAAGAATCATCCACTGCCAACAAATGATTTCACCTGCTTCATGGTTTGACTCCCTAAACTTAAATAAATTATAATGGTCTTAGGCATATACCTTATTTTCAATGAATGCAGAGCTCCACTGAAACAGGTATAATGATCTCACTCTGGGGCCTGATTTTTCTTGAAAGAAGAAAGATTAGGAAGTCGTTCCTAAGAAGCCCTTTAGTGTGTTAACTGCGTTGCAATCCATTCCTATTGAAGCAGGTTTTTCATCAGAAATGCTGTCTTTTTGCTTCGTTATAGTGGGAAGAACTGTACCACAGGGCTACTGTAGAGGGGAAGCTCCTTTGAGTATTTTCCCATCATACTTCATCTGTTGCTATCCTGCCAGTGCATTTTGCTGTTGGGTTAAAATGTTTGCAAAAACAATGTCCAACGATTGCTTTCTGCAACAGTCTCAACACATTTTCCCCTTTCACTTTCAGTTTGCACTGTAGTGTGCAGGGACAAAAACCTTCATCCTACTCATTTTTTGTTTTAGTCTTGCCATTTGTTTTGTGTAAAAATGCAGTCAGGAAGTTGAATTATTGAATTAGCTTGCTGTATTTAACAAAGAGAGGATTCTCCTGCAGTGAGTAGTGTTACGCAATGTCTTTGTTCATCTGCAAATCCTGTTTGGACAACTAGAGAGAACTCGCAGCGGTGGGATTCTACCAGATATTTTTAGATTTGTTCATCATTTTATCCTTGTATTCCTTGTGTGCGTCCTTCCATCTTTTTGTGTTTTCTGCTATTAATTTATCCTTTTCTCCTCATTATCTCCCTCACTCCTAAACATTCACCCTCTCCTTCTTCTACCAAACCAATCCTCATCTCTTCATTTACTGACTCACCTCCCTTTGTTGTTATTATTCATAAATAATTTGTCCATCTTTCTGCATCTCATTTTCTTTTTCCCTTTCACTCCTCTCCCCCGACCCCAGGCCATCTACTACGAGATAGGCTTCCTAGTTTGTGCAGCAGTGGGCCTGCTCTTTACCATTCTGATGCCAATAGCCGGGCTCTTCTTCTGCATGTGCCGCTGCTGTGACAACTGTGGTGGTGAGATGCACCAACGCCAGAGGAAGAATGCAGACTGCCGGCGTGGCCTCCTGGGAACGCTGCTCTTCTCCACCTCACTGGTCATCACGTGAGTATGACACATGCACAAATGACACGCACAAGTGAAATATTCAGAAATCAGTTCGCAAGCAGACGTGCACATTCTGCATGCAGACATGCATGTATGCATACACTGGGGTTATAAACAAGATGCATGTCTGTCTTTTACGGCGATACTCTCATGCACATGTGTACACATGTTAGTACCACACACACACACTCATCAGTTTTCCTCCTCCCCCATGCTGTTTGCTATATATAGTTGAGTCCTACTGTAGATTGCATGTGGCAGCACCCTTCATTCTTTTATTCATTCTAAGCTCTGGTCACTATAACCTTCCGGGGATCCAGACTGAAAGCTTTCATTTACTCTTGTGGCAATGTCTCAGTGCACATCTAAAACACTACAAATCGAAGATAAAACCGCAATATGCTTTGGAATTTGACCGCAATCATTCTGGTGAACACTTCTGACCTTTTGACAATACACACAATTTCACCTAGACCTGTACTCCTTGGTATTCATTGTAATGAATATAATACCGTTAAACTTTTTTCACATTACTGCACAGTCGTCATTGTTTGTCTTTTATATGCACATTTTAAGCAGTGGCTTTCTCGAATAGGACTGCGGTGAGTTTAAAAGCAGACTTAATTTTCAAGATTTCAGTTCAGAAAATATATTTTGTTTTCCTTTCCCCATTGTTCACATTGGGGAAAGGAAATGACCAGATCATTTTAAAAAAACAAAAACAAAAATCTGTGGGCCTTTTTGCCCACAGATTCTGCATATTCACACACGGAAACACATCTGTTTCTCTAAAGTCTGACCCTTTTTGCTGTGGTGTGATAGAAAAGTTTTATATAAGAAGTGTATAGAAAAGGTAGCTATAGGCTAAAGTCAAACTCTTGGTAAACATGAGTTCGTTTGCTGCTTTAAAAGTGTGCCAAGTTTGTCTTGATGCATTCTCAATCATCCAGGAGATGTGCCAAGTTTGATAATGTTAGATTGGATTTGTTAGCTCAACTTTAACGAATGCAAGTGGTAAAACTTTAAGATGTTATTTAATGAGTTCTTTCACTTTTTGAAGTTTAAAGTGTTAGTTTTTCATTTGGGATGAGCTGTCCTCTTTAGCGGCACTTTCCCTTTTTCCCCCATAACCAAACTGACCAATCGGCCTCAGATATACTGTCTAGCCGTTTCTTTGAGAGTCTCATTAGCTTCTACTGCAACGTGACGTGCAAAACTCTGGAAATGGAACTGCACATTACTGCAATGCTGATCGCAACTGTGATTGTTCTGCTTGTTATGCCACATAAGCATGCATGTCAGTTTAAACACATGCTTTTACAAATAGATGATAGGATGTGAGTGTATCTGGCTGCTTTATCGTGCTAATACTAATCTGGCAGCCAGTAATCTGCCAGCGTAGCTATCTGCTGTTGTTTCCCAGTTTTTTTTCTTTTGTGTTGTTACTTACACGCGAAGTACATGCAGGACAGTAACCTCGTTGTAAGCTAGCATTTTCTATGAGTATTAAAAGCATAATTCTGACATGAAAATCATGTTAGATAAAGTGGGACATTCAATTAGGTCTATAAGTATTTCAATATACACAGTACCCTGTTTTTCAGAGGCTAAAAAAATAACTAGACAAGCTAGTATAACTTTAAATGTGGGGATTGTTTTTAATATTTGGATGAAAATCATTTTCAGTCAGTGACTGATGGACATCACCAATCACTACTGATTATAATGTAACCAGGCACATATTTGGCAAAAATCTAGATTTCCATCCATCCATCCATTTTCTTCCGCTTATCTAATCCAGGAGAGCTGGAGCCTGTCCATAGGGCGAGAGGCAGGATACACACTGGACAGGTCAGCAATCTCTTCCTGGGTTAACACAGAGACGGACAACAATTCATGCTCTCATTCAGACATATGGCATGAGGGGGAATACAAAGTCTTTTCAGCTGCCTTCAGTTGAAAATGGATGAAATAAAGCTTTACATTCACCCTGTGCTTCTTCTTTATGAGCCCATCAGACTGTCCTGTAACTTGATGAGTCTCATCTGTCAGAAAATGGACCACAAGAAACCTAATCTTCCTTCCACTCTGGTTTACAGTCTCAGCAGCACAAGAAGCATAGCCACTGGGGATATAGCAACACTACAAAAGATGTGGGGAAACAACAGTTGAGCTAGACTGAAGGCATCCAGGAGTGTACTTAGTTTGATGTTCCTCGACTTTCAGTCTTCATTGGAACAAAGCCTAGTTATATGAAATTCCCCAGCAACATCCCAGCAGCACAGACAGAAGAGTCTGAGAGCATCCTCACAGCTCTTATTAAATCTCCTGAGCTACCAGGCAGAGATGCAGCAGAGGCTCTAATGAAGCAATTACAGGCTGGAGAGGGATGAGTCCCAAGCCCAGGCCAAGACTGCTTTTTACTGCTACTAAAAAGCTGACAGCCAGGCACACAAAAGTAGCGGGGGTGACATTTATTTTCCAAGAAGTGTTAAAATCGGATTAAGAGAGGGGAAAGACTCCCAGGTAAGGGTGAGAACATTGAAATGACCACAAATGAGATATAAACACAGCTAAATGATGGCTACAGAACCTGGGGCATCACCTTCTGTTGCACTGTGAGATAATATAGTGCAAGTAACTCTTTATTATGCATTATGTCAACTCATATTTGATGCTAAGCGTTCATTGTAGGGGAGTTTTCGCAGCACTTTCCAGTCATCCCTTCATACCTAAGTAGTATAGACAGAGATGTAATCTCTTACTACCTTGCTTTGCTGTCAGTTAACTCAGCAAGGTTTTAATCTCTTAATATACAAGATCTTATGAAAGATTGTGTCTTTATTTATAAAAACCGAGTGATGCAAAGTGGATTTCAGTGTCGGGATGGCTACCAAGCTGCTGTTACTGGAGATACACCCAAGCACACAGATAACATTGTCACAATCCAGCCTGCCATATAGGCTTAAGGGCTTATCAACTCTGCCAGAAATGTCAAACAAGCCTGTGACTGTTGCCTGAAGACACTACACTTTCCTGAGTTTAGATAACATGCCCTTACTGAAAAGGTAAATCCCATACCCTTATCCTAATTACAGAGTGGAAAGCAGTCACAGTTGCCTCTAAATAATGGCCACGCCAAATGTGAAGGCAACCTGAATTAAGAAATAAAAACAGAATGGTAAAAAAGTGAGTCGGGAGAATTTGGTATCAGTCAGATTTTTTGCTATTGTACACCACCTGCCTAAACACAGAAGGGTGTCCTGTGGTGTCTCGCACTGGGACGTTGGCAGCTGATTATTTCGGTCCTGTAGGTTGTGCAGTGGGGCCTCTGTAGTCAGGTCAAGTCACTGTTATTTATGTAGCACATGTAAAAACAACAGGAGTTGCCCTGAGGTGCTTTCCAGCTGAGGCAAACATATTAACAGTTCAAGTCCCTAAAAATATAAATGCAAAGCCCACATAAACAGAAACATGAATGCACTGAAAAGCAAAGCAAAAATGTAATAATCATAATATTTAAAAAATCTATCAAAAATTAATAAAATAAAAACTTCGGAGTAAAATTATACAAAAGAATACATTTAAAAGAAACAACAGTCATCTAAGGGAGCAAAAAGGAAACATTGACAGGTGGCTGACAAAAGCCAGGCGGCTCAAATTTTACCTGGCTAGATCACTATGGCAACCTGTAGACATGCAAAGCTAGTTATGGTTTTGGGTTTAAAACCAGCTACAAGTGCTATATTTTAACTTGTGATTGTGATTGATGTGCAATATATACATACACCAGCGTCTCCATGAGGTGTTCCTTGTTGGAACATTGTTCACTTGCAGAACACAGGTTCCACAAGATGCCAAAAACATTAATAGGAATCGCAATAATTTTGGCATTTTGCAGTTGCTGGAGATTTGTTCCCTGCCAATCCATGAACTGAATGTGCCGTTTCACCACTTCTCAGAAGTGCTCTATTAGAGAGAGACCTGGTGTCTGTGGAGGCCGTTTGGAGGGCAGCGATGGTTGTATGGGGAAAATCCCAGTAGATCAGCAGCTTGTGAAAAAAACAGACCTGGCCATCTGGCGCCAACAAACATGCCACATTCAGAGTCACGCAAATAATCTTTCTTCCCATTCCCATACTCAGTTCAATCTTCAGTATGAACCTCACCATGTGTACATCTAAAGGTTTTGGCTTACTTTCCTATGATTACCTGATGGGGGTTAACAAGCAGTTTACCAGTTTTACCCGGTGAAGTGTGTGGTGAAGACTTCCTCCTGAATGAGTGAATTGTGTATATATGTAGCCAAGGTTTCTGGTACATGTGCAACAGACTCTGAGCATTCCTGGATCCACTGTGGCAAATAAAGGAGGCAAAAAAAGCAAAACAAACAAAGCAAATCGGTGAACCAGGTAGAAATGGGAAGAAAAAAATCTGTAACAAGAAAGCTGATGAGAAAATTTCACTCTTATATCATCCTCCTACTGTGAAGGTGGTAGGGTCAAATCCCAGAGGAGCTGCCAATGAGCTGCAGTTGTAAACGTGAATGAGTAATGTTCACTGGGTTGGAGTAGCGCTGTAGGGCTATGGGGTTTGATTCACACGGATGCCAGTCATGCTGAAAATGCATGCACTTCAGCTCCGGCTACAAATGTACTGCCCAAGTAAAAGCAGGCAGGATTGTTGTCATTGTGTGCTAAACTCTGCCAAACACAAAGCAGATGTTCATCACTGACTTTTAATGTTGTATCTTACAGGCAGAGACACTGGATTGGCTTTGTGGAAACAAACATGTTGAGAATGATTAATTACATTTATGGACATACTCATAATTTAATCAGAAACAGCAATTTGCCTATTAGTGGAGATGAACTATTAACATGTTCACCAGGTTAATTTAGGTGAAGGAATATTGAAATCTAATTAAGCATAAAATGATGTATTAAACAGGCCTTAAGGAATTGATAATTACTGTGACGTGTAAGCACGTTAAACTG